AAGACTGGCTGCTTGAAGTTCCGGGGAACACCCCTCAGAATTTCAGCTTTCCAGCTTCTCAGGTTCCCGAGCTAACATCTTACCCGAAAAAAACTTTCGCGAGCCCGTAAGTGGGTACAGCGCACACTGGGTTTGAACTCGTTAACACTTACTGTATGAGGAACATCCTCTTAAGATTCCAATCCTCTAGCTTCTCAGGTTCCCGAGTTAGCAACTTGCCGGAAAAAAAAACTTGGCAGGCCCGTACGTGAGTACCTCGCGGGTAAGAGCGCCCATTTTGGGAATGGGGGCCCTTACATGCATGCAGATTAAGTTCCCAAAATTTCAGTTTCGTAGCTTTTGTAGGTCTGCAGATGAAAAATCAGTACAGACGAACACACAGACACACACACACAGACAACCCCTCGTCAATATGCTTTTTCTGCAGTGCATAGCTGCAAAAAACGCATAATAAAGATTAGGGGATCGTTCCTTTTGCAATGCATATTCAAATATATTTACTTTATTAGTTAACTGCACTTGAATTTACCGATTCTTTTAATTGTGCAGTTGGCAACTTTTCCAATTGCAATGCTGCATCGCCTAGTGGTCAGCCTGCCAGTCATTCTGACATTTGTTTCGTCCCTAAAAGTTCAACTGTTCATCCAACAGAAGCGCTTGGAAAGCTTTTGCCATTTTGAAATGTCCTTGTTGTGTGTTGAGCATCATCAGCTGATTCGGAGTCTTACCGACGAAGAGATGTAACATGTTAACATGTGTCGCGAATTTCGGGGCTTTCCCAGGGCGGTAGGCGAACTCCAAAACCGGCAGCCCAAATCCTCAGGCGCAGGCGAAAATGCAAAGGCGGTAGCCAGATCCTCAGGCGCAGGCGAATTCCAAACCTAGTCGAAAGCGCACCGGCTGCCGGTGCGAGGATGCGTTTTTTGCACAGTTCCCCCGCAGGTTTTTTTGCCAGTGGCACGTTCTTTTCGGCAAGTGCTTCTAACTAAAAGAATTGAGGCTGGTCACCTCGACTGTTAGTCATTTTTACAATGATTCCCAATCCATGGTCAAAAAATTCAGCGCTCTAGATTCTTCG